AAAAAACTATATGACACCCAACCCTACCACTCCATACACAATGTAACACACCTCAAAAACATCCTTTCACCAGTGTATTCTATTTGAATTCAGGAGAAATTTAAATAAACAAATTATATGACAACGAACTTAATTATAATTTCAACCTCTAGTTCAGCACTGATTAAATAAACTACCTCGTCTTTATGCCAACTTGAAGTTATTCAATGCCTACACCAGTGACTTCAAAATCTATGTTTCAATTCCAGGAATTTCACTTGCTATTAATTGTATGGGAGTGCCAGTCTTTTATTTTCTATAGTTGTAATGTCAATTTCTTGTGATTACTCGGAAAATGAAGCTGTAACCACAGACCACAGTGCTGCAACTAAATCCTAGTATAAGCACCGGTTAGGCAGTCTTGAACTATGCATGTGAAGCCAGCTGAGAGGTATATCCAATCCTATAGATTTCTCATTGTTTGGTAACTATTTGCTGCAAATGCAACAAAAATCAATATAAAAATATTACCCACACAGCATTCTACAGGTTACTTGTCTTGATTATATTTACTTCAGGGATTCATATCGCGGATTGGCGAGATGCTATATAGGGACGCACGTGTCACCATCAACCTATACATTGACCCCGTCGTGAAAATATCTCCCAACTAAAGAGTATCATAATTAGTTAGTTATCCAAATCCGGGATAACATAATCCCCAAGCACTCACCATCTGCGTGAAAGAACATTTCTTCGATACCGATCGCTAGACCCATGTCTTCGAACCCTCGAAGTATCCATATGTAGTCGGTATGTATTGGTCGCTGACAAGGGTTAGAGGCGATGAATATGGAAGAAGGATGGGCTAAAACTGATTGACGTACTGAAATGAAATACAGGTATATTGTGTTAGTCAGTCAGTCAGTTAGGAAATACAGGAGAATGTTGGCATAGCAACCACACTATATTATGTAATTAATAACTTCCTCTTGACAAGGAGCACTTACCGAACGGCTTCTCTGACCAATCCAGTCTGTCCTCCGTAAAAGTATACCGTGCTTTATAACCGGTGGCTTTGTTCGAATTGCCCTTGGACTTAAACTTGACTATCAGAAACGAATTTCGGGACACGATAGAGAATGGACGCTCATCTTCCGTGAATTCAAACCTTGAGAACCACTCATCACGAATCTAAAACGAGCCATATTAAACGTAACTATAACAATATAGCATACAAGCTAAATGAATACCAATCATTCGGACGTATACTGCACACGTATAATGTGCTGAAATGTCCGCGTTGGTTCATAACAGTTCAACGGTTTTTTATGGCATATTGTATTTGAAGATAGTAAATAATGCGCGCAGTACTGTGGAAGTGATCCAGTGAATAACTTTAAAACTCAGAGATCCCTTCCGTGGACCCCCTCCCCAAATGTGCATTCCACATTCCAAAATGGAAAATATAGACTCAGTGCATGGTCCAATATAGATGTGGTGAGAATAAACAAACAGTAATTCCTTCAATGTCAATTTATGATCTAACATTGTAAACTCTGAGGAATATCATGATTGATTCATAAAATTTCTAATACGAAATTTCAAACGCTGCTTTTGACATCAGAATTTCTTGGCAGTTATGTGATAAGTTAATCCGAGGAAAAAAGGAAATAACATTCAAAATGGCTGCCAATGTAGGATGTAGACAATTGTGTACTCATATTTCTACTTACAGTAATGAAATCTCCGCTAGAAAGCAGGAAGTCGTCAAAGATTAATCTCACGTGACCCCCTGCGACGTTCTGAATGTGATAGGTACAATCAAATTCGTCATCGGTCGGGTAAGGTTCGGGAAAGTTCGGTGAAGTGATGGCTTCATACGAGTCTACGTTGGATTCACTATGACTCCCCTCGTAAACCAAATCATTACATTTGTGTGAGTTGTCCTCTTCGCTACTACTGATACTACTGCGTTCGTTGTCCTCTTCGCTACTACTGATGCTACTGCGTGCGTTGTCCTCTTCGCTACTACTGATGCTACTGCGTGCGTTGTCCTCTTCGCTACTACTGATGCTACTGCGTGCGTTGTCCTCTTCGCTACTACTGATGCTACTGCGTCCGTTGTTCTCTTCGCTACTACTGATGCTACTGCGTCCGTTGTTCTCTTCGCTACTGCTGCTACTGTGTCTGTCATAATGGTCATCGTCGTTACTATGAGAATGCCTATCGTAGTTCAATTCCCCATCGTTACGGTCGACGTAATCAATTTGACCTGTAATAATTCATAGCGAAACAATACAAGTTTGTCATGTCTATACGACCCTGTTTTGACGACGTATCTCTGTATGACCTTTACAATAGGGTGTACCCTTCTATTGCGAGTAGATATTGCTGAAATGAGACTTATTCTACCAATACCAACACGTTTGAATGACATGTACCAGCGTAAAACAATGGGAGCTCTGTATAACCTTTTCTGTACATGTGTGAGCCCCTCTCTGCTTTCCGGGTGCATCTTGGAGCGATGAGACTTGTGCAAACGATACAAACCCGCTTCTGTATATCAGTGACCTATCTCTGTATAGCCTCCACAGTAGATCTGCCCTTTCCCTCCGGCTGCATATTGCTGTAATGGGACTTAGTTTAACGCATTTTTGCGACAACGTGACCCCACTGTATAACATAAAATACGCATGAATTTTAACACTGAAATGGCTGCAATATTAGTACTAGTACTGTCATCTTGAATATGAACACAACATGAATACATGTGCGTATGTATCCTAAGATGTGAGGTTCAAAAAACAAAATGATCACCAGTCGGCCATTTTTAATAAAAGTAAATGAAGTGCACCAGGAGTCCCATAGTATCCGATGTATGTACCGAGTTTGAATAAATTATACATTACTGAGATCTGGTCCCGAAAACACAGAAATGCTTTATTTTAGTGTTTGTTGTTTGTTTTTGTGCTTTTTTGGCCGTTATCCGGCTATCTTGAATCGGATACAGGCTAGATACAGGTGTGGGCGGGCGCATGCACAGAGGTCTTCTCACTTCGTCTAGACGTATATTTGTATTTTTGTTGTGATATAACACTAATTAGGCTAGACTCGTATAAGAATCATAATTGAATAATTCACGACGTCGTATACTTTTATTTATAAGTGTACTAGGATCGTATTTATTTATTTACTCACCCACACATAGCAACGGCACAGTGAAAGTCACTAGTAAACACAGGAGTCTCATCGTGTCAAACTGTAAAATTATAATCAACACTCAGTACGTGCAAATAATCAGTTATAGTAATTCAAGTATTGGTAGTGAACTATCTTTGTTACTCGTTTAAACACGAGCTGTTAGATCGCTCATAGATTGGAAAAGCTGCCAGGGACGAAAATCGACACTTGGAACTTTACCTTACCAGCCACTACATAGACCAAGTTCAATATTGACAACGGCGGTAAGTTATAAATTTTCATTGGTTTTACAGTTATGTACATTTTACAGCGTGACTGCTTTGTCTGAAAATATATCCGGTAATAGCACTGGAAGAGCTATACAACTTAATTTTCAGATTTTATCTTTGTTGTAATCAGGTTCAATCCTGTAGTTTAAATATTCTGGGTCGAGGGAACTTCTCAGCAACGCTAACAATATTCTGAGGATAGGGTAAAAGTGTACTGGTAAACTATATTTAATGAGACATCGGAATTCCTTGGCGGGAAAGGAGGACTCGATCATGATTTACCATAAGATTATCAAATTAATGTGTAGTTAAAAATAAAGAAATCCGTGCACCAAAACTGGTTTGGGGTTTCGTATTGTTTTTGGACAAAGCATTTCTTAGTCGAATTTTAGTCTTACAGACGCACTGTTAGAATACCTATTTTCAAAGTTGTCTGGCAATAGTATGATTGATAGATCATAGTTCCTGTTATTACTCAAGTTTATCGCATGTCTCGATGACATCATACAAATGTATAGGTGTAGACCACTCGAACTTTGTACTGCAAATGTCATGAAACAATATACTAGTAGCAAGTAATATTGTGGGCGTCACAGTCTTTTTTTAACGTAACGATTTCTGTCGAACGGCCGGGGAAGTACAAATTATAATCCATGAAAAAAACAAGCGGCACGTTGAAAATTAGTCGAAAATGGTTGCTCGGTTGAATTGTGTTTGAAGCAAATAACAGATCTCGACCATAAATATCCTAAATAACAATTTTGATCGGAAACAATGCAATTTCACTCAGAAAGTGATATTTGCAGAAACAAAAAAGAGAGCCATTCTGACATATGGATACCTAAACCAAGCAGACGGGCACGAGTGACACTTCCACTGTGTTTCTATAACATGATAACGAGTCGTTGACTGGCTGTCAAAACAATGCAATCGACGGCAGGATACCGTCATGTCACGATCGAAACGCAAAAGAGCCTACAACACAGAAGCCACAGTGTCTATCTTACCTGGTTATTGCGCTGTTTGAAATCGGTTAGAGAAATGCCAGAAAGACGGCTGCTTTCTCTGAAGACGGAAATGCAATGGCGTATCACAACACGTGACACAAAAATAGAACAATCAATATGCCACTGTAGTTAATAAATGACTAAAATTTAAGATGTTATATTGATATAGCGTATAACCAGTCAACATGATATAATGGCAATTCACTCAACATTCCGCACTGGCATTCAATCTATATTCAACAACTGATCTCTGCTCTGTAAGCAGTTATAAATTATCTTTGATGAAAAAAAAAAACTTTTAGAAACGGAACTCTATTATTTGTAAACATACAAACCACATCTACAATCGTGAAATTATTTGTAAAGAATTTTCTGGGCTGGAACGCGTTTGTTCCCCTGTACGTTGAAGGGTAGTGGTCGTGGCGCAGCGCGTGTTTGAATTTCATGTAAATAAACAATGTATTTTACACGCGTTGTATACGTCGCTATGAGTCCCAGATCGAACAGGACGCGACGCGACGACCACCGCCCTTTAAGACCCATTTACTGATTGTCTGAAATAGGGAGAGTCATCTCAGACCCGATTACCTACTCTTTGGCGAGTGTTATTAACTGTACTTCATTTTAGTGACTATTTAATGAAATTTTCAAACGTGGCTGGAATTTGCAGTAATGCACTCCATAGTCAATCTTGCAGCCACACGACACTGAAAGTCGAAATAATTTTTTCAGCCAGTCAGTGCCAATCGACGCTTGTGGGGGCTCTTGACGTACAGAGAAAGCCCATAAAAATACTATTTGCTAATCATTAATTTGTTTGTAGGTAAAACTGTTTATAACTGCTCAAAATCCTGAGCCGTGACGTCATCGGGGTTGAAGAGTGTGCTCTCGTGCACGCTCTAGGACCATGATTAGACAATCCCCTGTAGTTTGGGTATGTCATCGGAGGTACATAACATTAGATTATGAAAAAGTCGACAAAAATGATCATAAACGGGGACAGCACGGTGACACATGCAGTATATATGGATCGTGATATATAATATACACTAGAAGAGTGAAGCCAACCACCACGGGCACCCTAGTCTTACTCCGTATGTACCTCTACTATTTATCCGTATATTCCTAGCTCGAGGAAAGCACAATGTGTGCGATGATTCCTTTAAAACAAGCATTCACAAAAGGCATATAAACATCCAAAACCGATAAGATTGTTGTAAAATGTTGCCTCTAGCGTTTTGGCACCAGACCACTAATTGATTGAGTAACCAAAATACTGGTAATTGTTCTCCACGATGGGATGGTTGTAGTTATGTGCTACTGATTAAACGGATCATGAAATTCAAACTCGTATTCTCATGATCAGCATTTCTGGCCCGGGTATTCAATAAATAACTAAATCAATACAGTGTATGTGACTTGACGCAAGGAACCGGAAACAGCTACTGGTGGCGCTGTATACAATCGGAACCTATTTAGGCATGCCAACGCTACAGTGTAAAGCGCGGAGACACTTTTTAAATTTAGTGACCAGTTTAGTATGCTAGAAAGCGTGTACAATCTTCAAATAACAGCAATAAACAAAGAGGGGTCATGACCGTATATACGTGATTCTGGCGTTTCATAATACATACTTTCTATCAATAATTGCACTTTAAAATAATATTTATGAGATATGTCTACGTCATAACTCGTTTAAGGTTATTAGCATATTGCGTACGCAGTGCGCATTCTTCGGGCCTTTTTTCCGTATTCCACAACCAATGCGTGACCTTCAACACTGTCAATGAGGTTTGTCAAACAAATCTCATTGATGGTGTTGAACGTCGTGTTCGTGTTGGAAGCCCACGCATAAGCGATGCTACCAGATATATCCTCGGGGGCGGAGCTACGTCACAGACGTTCCACGTTGCTAAGACGCGCACTACTGTACATGCATTTCTATGGGCTCTGTGCGCGCTGCTGTGGAACGCCGGTCGAGCCGGTGAAAATTCGAGAAAACAACACAAACTCAACTTTGAAGTAATCCCAAACAACCAAATTCATATATGTTACACACGTAGGGCTAATCTTGTTACACTGTTCAGAGGAGTCTCAACAATCATCCCAAAGTACCGTTTTCTGCGAGTTTTGGGCCTTTGTTTTCACCGCCGCGGGTTGCCAGGCGGTGAAAATGCCCGGATGTCCGCCCCCGAGGATACACACAAGCACCGTCCCTCAATAACGGTGACACAAGCAAACAAACAAGCACACAAACCAAGCAAACGTGACTGCTCATAGCGATAGCAAATAAATTATACATTTCAAAATGTCATACACTGTATTATACAATTACAATTCTGGTTCCCCAATAACTCTGGGTAGGTTGTATTACAATGTTTTACAATTCGACGACTTCCATTGGAAGCAACATTGAACTATTCCTGTACCATAACAAACTATACATCGTTTGTTTTACAGAATAAATTTACTTGTAATAATAATTAATATCGATAATATACATATATCAAATGTGTAAATAATTTTCAAATCTTATTCACATTCTTGACAAAAATCAAAAATTATGTTATTTTAAGTTGTGTCATATTGCAGTGCTGATGCACATAATACTCGTACTGGAACTTACTCACACCCCCCTGCTCCGACTCTGGTGATCACCGTGGTGGAGTACGTGCCCAGCTCCGTGTGCGTGACAGTATGAGGGCTCCATCAGCTACGTATTCTCCCCTCCCTCAATCTGTTTGAATGAACGTATTTTGTACGTTTTGTGGTACAAACCCAACGGAGAAACGTACGCCCTAATGCAACCGCGATCACACAGAAGGCTCGGCGATTTCCGTACCCAATACAAAGTCTTTAAACTGTTAGATTCGGCACTGCATACGGGGAATGCAACAATGGAAATACTGAGATAAGTTGTCCCAGTGTGAAATTAAACAACTACACTGTATTCAGAACAGCAAAACATTCCACGGCCTTAACACGTGTTAGAGCAACAAATATTTAGCCAAGCTTGTTAATATTGTACATTATCACGACGATAGTACGTGCAACGGACAGTCATCCTCGAATGATCATGATGAATAGCCAAATTTGGAAGTAATTAAAATGCACACTTCGGACAGCGATAAGTAGCAATTATTGTCCACGTCTAAACACACTCGCGTGTAAATTACACATGAGCTGGCGAAAAATTTCCCTCGGTTTTGACACCAATATGAAAGCTGAAAATTTGTTGAATAGTGTTGTATTATGCTATTGCAACAGACTGATAGAGATCGGCGCTGGCAATCTGCCAAGATCCTGAATTAACTTATCGAGAATCGAGTCCCACGCCTTTCTGCATGGAGCATGAGCTGGCTTCGCGGAAAAGATTGCGTATTGTGAATTACATCTTCGGAATACGAAGAGATGACGACGATAAAATCACTACATCGGTGAAGTATCTCTCGATGACAAGTCAGACTAGATGCACGGCAAAGCATTGAATGTATCCAGCCATCCTACTCTGTCTTTAAACACTGGACTATTACATATCTGACATTGGCCTGGCAGTCACCGCAAGTTGTTCATGTTCACTCACCGTCCGTATGCGCGAATTGTCCGATGCGCCTTCGAACACAAGAGTGCAGTTGTTATTTAATTCGACTGTGTTTGAGCTAAAACTATAATCCGATGTTAGTCCAGATGCCGAGGATCCTAAATGTTCGTCCGAGGCGTCTGTGTTCGTTTCAAAAACTGCTCGCGAATCATGCGAAAGTTCATCATCATCATCATTATCACGTCTACGTGATGCAATCTGGGAAATTATAATTTCGTCCATGCGAGTATTTAAAGGAAGTATAGACGTGTCAATGTCCCGCTCTTCGGGTTCTGGGCAGGTGACCCGACTTCTGTAATAACGGGACCTTGTCAATGAGAACCTGGGGTCGTCGCGCAAAACCTGTACCGGCAGTGTGATAGCGTCCCCAAACTCCTCTCCAGGTCGACATACGAAAAACTGAGGGCGCTCTTCTGAATCAATGAGAAATCCTTGATTAGTGAGAGAGGGCGCTATCGTCATTTGATTTGAGTCTTCTTGGCTTTGATGCCCAGATCGTGTTTGCTGGTTTTCGACGGCAACATTTTCCGCATTATCCTCGTTGCTATCGGCTGAGTGATTCCCTTCCAAAGAGCTTGAATACGATGGTGGGTTTTCGGAGTAAGGTGGTGGATTCCAAATATCAAGCGGTTCGAAGTCCTGGAATGACATCTCGATATCGCGCATGCGTCTTTCTGATAAGCTGTGTGTTCTTCCACAACCTGTAAAAAAGAAAATAATTATTAGACTTACGAATCCATTCGAATATTTAAAGAACGGTTAACGTGTCGAGAAAAAAAACGCCACAGTAAAATGAACTTGAAAAATACCAGAACTTACGCGAGCTAATACCGCTACTGATAGACCTCAGCCTTTCTCTCGCCGATTCTTTGTTGGGATTCCACGTAATACACACGCAACACACGAGGATGGATAACACCAGTATTCCAAGTGCCGCACCACACACTATTATTGCGTCAGTGTAAGTAGGAGGGTTGAATGTATCTGGCGAATCAAAAAAGATAATATCACACAGATTTAAATAGACTAAACAAAAAGCTGACCACTACGGTTTTGTGAGGTGCTCCAAGCCTTTTTCTGACGATGGCAGCACATAATATTAGGTAAGTAGTTCAGGTTGTGTGAAAGATATCGATTCTAAAGGTCGGCGGTCGTTGCACTGCGTTCTATTTGATATTGTACCCATAGCGACGTATACAACGCATGTAAAATCCGTTGTTTATTGACATCTAATTTGAATTTGCGCTGCGTGACAACTCTTTAAAAGGTGCAAAATTAATGTCAGAAATGTCCGAGGCAGTTACACGGTTCCGAGTCAGTTACACGGTAACACATGTACAATGATGTCAATTAATTTCCATTTTTTGCCAACCTACATTGCCGATAAGTTGAGTTATTAACAGGGACATGCATGTATTTTTAATTTAAACTAAGAAAACAACAACAAAAAGCAGCGAAATGAACAATACCATTACCTAATTTACCAATGCCCGCGCGCAAAAAAACGTACGACAAGTGCGCCCTCCAGTAGTCCGTAATTTATAATAGCTTGGGTCGCCAATCTCATGCAAGTGTTGGCTCGCTATTTCTCTCAACTTCGTATAGTTTGGGTTTATAATAAACATACCTGTGGCAATGTCAAAATGACGTGCGTTCGTCCAATAGTATTAATAAAGTAATGACTAACATATAAAATTGAATCCGATGCACCTGTGCTAAGTTGCTGATATGCCACGATGGCAAATCCCGGTAGTTAGAATAACAAATTATTAGCTATTATCTTTTATCAAAAAATGACATTGATGTCCCTCTTTTTGATGAGAAGGCATCCTTTGTGAGAGGAAATGTACTGTTATCTGCACTACATTTTTAATGATGGTGTATACTCATTTTATTTTCAAAAATGTTGATTAACTGTGAAATAAGATGTAGAAGTACGCGCCAACATTTTATTTTTTTAATCTTTGTTGTTGAAAATGTCCATGTAGATATAGGTTTAAATAGAACTCAACATAAGTCGTACATACTTTCCGAACCACATAAGGTGCCATAGTTGCCAGATTTGCAGTCACATCTACCAGTTGTCTCGTCACATGTACCACCATTCTGACAACCAGCGTAGCGACAATCTGTAAATAATACGAGACTTTATATTCAAGTATTTATATTTTTACTACGATACACTTATTTTTTTATCAAGATATAATATCAAGAGATGACGACAATAAACAAGTACAACTCAATTGAAGAGTGGGTTCAATAATTCGATAACTTATACATTGGGATTACAGAGGAGATACGGAATGACCCATCATTTATCACAGAGATACAGTATTTACATATCTCCGACCCAGATATACTCAGACAACTATTAAATTTCTATAACTCACTTGATAGCACAAAAAAACGAAAAATAATAAATGCTCTAGCCTCAATCTTATCATTGGTAAATTCTTTAAATTTTCGTATGATCCTTTCGAATAATTTTCTCGATATTATATTTAACACGATTTTTTGTGGTGCGATATTTCCTAACTAGTAATTACATTTCTCAATGTATTCTCTGAGATCTTAACCGTCAATAAATTAGTAAACACATATATCTAGGAATAGGAAAAGACGGTATTTCTTTGTAGATTTTGAAAGGACGTTCGCTCCAGTGAAGAGAGACTCTTTGATGATAAAAGTAACGAGCTCCGGTATTGGTTAAAAAGTGGTTTTATAGGATATATTATAGGATATAGTATCCATATATTTATCAATGAACAACGGATACACTGATATTTGGTTATCGTCAATACTTTTTTGATGTTTGACGGCTCTGTGTTTGAGACTAACCTGTGTCGCAGTATTCCTCGTCCGAACCATCAAAGCAGTGATCTCTTCCATCACAAACAAGTTCCAAATTGATACACCTTCTATTCCGACATTTGAATGTTTCTACGCCATCAATTTCTGCTTCAGGACATAAACTGGTGTAGTCATCTGAACGTGTGAAAACGGAAGTTCGAGATTATATCGTCCGACTGCAGCTTCATATAAGATAAAAGCCACACAACACGGCCGCCATATCAAACAGAAAATA